AGGTTCAGCCGATTGTCGGCCCCCACTGGCCGCGGTTCGCCATCCCGAACCAATGGGGGCTCCGGGAAGCCGCGGCCAGGACATCTCTCGCCCGCGCAGCCCCCACTGGCCCGGGACAGCGAACTGCGGTGAGTGGGGGCCGCAATCGGCTGAACCTGCCGCGTCAGCAGGTAAATAAACTGGCCCGGCCCACTAGGGTGCTTACCCTGAACGTTGCCGACCCCTGATCTAGACTAATAAGCAGCTCTACCACCCCTACACTGTAACACTGAGTGCCTTACAATGCCTTGCTGAAGTAGCTCCCACCTAGGCCACTCACAAACAGCCTTCCAGCATGCAAGCCACACCCTGAGTGTTTATGTATAACTACAGCCTGCCAACCACACTCTGGCCCTCACCAGCCTTCATAATACTGCAGGGTGACCCCCATAAAGCCACAATCTTAGATTTGTACCCAGAAATGTATGTCCTGTACTGCCCAGCTTCTCTGGACAATGCAATTATATTAGGTCCGTTACTTCTTTAAAGGGATAATATGCACACAATTTGCCGCTCCCAAATGGAGTTTCCCAGACACTTCAAGTTAAACACAATGGATTAGATAAAACAAATGTATTAATTACAAAAAGATAGATTTTAAGTGAGTAAAAGTAATGTAACCATTTCTGACTTTTTAGGTTTCAATAAAAATTAAGATAAAAGTCTACTGGTGCCTAACTTAAACTATGTTAAATTCAAAGCAAAGTTCTCACCACATCCTTTCAGCAGTCTTACTGACCAAGCCTCTTAGATCAGGACCCCTCCCCCAGCGCAGTAGCTGCTTCCTTTGTCCGTTCAGGTGCAGTGAATCGATGTGCATGGGGGGGGTCCTTTGGGGTGTCTTCCCCTTCTTTTTATAGTTCTGTCCCCCCTTTGAGAAGCATTTCCAGCTGGAAGTAAGGCAACAGGCAATTTGTGTAGCAGGATGTTCTCTGCTGCTTTTTTTCTTGCCCTGTTTGAGCTTTCTGCTTGATGATGACTGTTTACTACTTAAATGCAAGTTAAGCAGAGCACAGATTCCCTTGTTTAGGACAGACCTGTTTGATAACATGTGTTAATAACACCATACAGTGGAATCTTATAACTTCACATTGCCACACATTTTACCAGGACAATAATGAGTTTTTAAATGATACCTCACAAGACATATTTTGTACAAAGATTATTAAAATAGCATGCAGAGTATGAATACAGGGGTACATTCTGTCACAGGGTGGGGTGAGGGAGTTAAATGGATTATAGACTGTTGTAATAAGCCATAAATCCAGTGTCTCTACTCAGTCCATATCTCCACTGCTGTCAACCCACAACACACCTTTCAAGATCTATAGGTATGTGTAGGACCTATCACATATGGTGCACTTCATCCAGTGCACTAAATGCCCCAGTAACAACTATGTGGGTGAAACAAGACAATCATTACACACATAAATGAACTCACACAGAAAAATGATAAAAGACAAAAACACCCTATCACATGTCGGTGATCACTTTAAACAGAGTGATCATTCTATATCTAACCTCTTAGTCCTCATCCTCAAAGGAAACTTGCATGACACCTTCAAAAGATAAGCCTGGAAGCTTAAATGCATAACTTTGCTAGATACTAAAAATCATGGACTGAATAGACACACTGGATTTATGGCCTATTACAACAATCTGTAGCCCACTTAAGCCCTCTGCTGAGCACTTTTTCCCCCTTCCCTCCCATGACTGGAGAGGTGTTAATGGGTCACTTCACCTTGAATGGTCTCTTGAAATATGAGTTAAATATTTACGCTAAACAATCTGTTCCACTTTGTATTTAGCTATGACACTCCGAGTGCATTTCCCAGACCTGATGAAGAACTCTGTGTAAGCTCAAAAGCTTGTCTCTCTCACCAACAGAAGTTGGTCCAATAAAAGTTACTAATTCACCCACCTTGTCTCTCTAATATCTTGTGACTGACACATCTACAGCGACACCGCATACATATATATTACCTGTCATTTCGAAAAACTTTTGGGAGGTATCTTCTGGGGAACCACATGGCCAGAGCACACATCAGGACCCAAAGAATAGCCAGCTCATCTAGCATCTGACCCAGGAAACTGAGTGTAGCATGGAAATAGACAGATCCAATGCCTGGATGAATCAATTAAAAAGCCAATATGAAGTTACAGTAGCGTATGGCACTAAAATGTGCTGCTTAACAATGGACCTAATAGTCTGGAAATGGTAGAAAGACTTAAACAACACCACAATTGGTGGCAGCTAAAACTTATTGCAAAACAACTGATTTATGAAAGGGGCAAATGTCAGCTCTAAATAGCAAAATGGAGCTTACGTAAAGGAAACAGCACATCAGGGTATCACTATTAATGAAACGGGCACAGTATTATTTAAAAACACACACACACAAAACACTCCAAACTAAACAACTAAAAATAGAGATTCTCACTGGCTGGGAGGGGTAAGTCAAACAAGGCTGGCAACAAGTGGTGGCTAAACCTTAGCATGATTTACAGGTGGAAAATCCCATGCTCTTTTACAGAGCCATGCAACCTGCACAATAATTCTTTGCCCCATCTATGTAGTATTTCAAAATCTTCCATTGTTGCTGACAGTGGAAACATTAATGATCCTCTGTACATAAAATGGGTAAACATTCATAGATTCATAGATTCTAGGACTGGAAGGGACCTCGAGAGGTCATCGAGACTAGTCCCCTGCCCGCATGGCAGGACCAAATACTGTCTAGACCATCCCTGATAGACATTTATCTAACCATTCACTTCTATGGAGAGAAATTATCAGCATGTTACAAACAAAAGGCTCCGGAACACCTCCCAGATGATGCTAAATATCCTCAACTCCTACTAAAGTAATGGGATGTGGGTGCTCAGCACTGCTCAGGATCAAGCCCAAATGTAGCAAGAGCAATTACGCAAAGGAAGGGCAGAGCGGAGCTAAGCAGGCCAGAGTTCCAGCCAACCTAGATTGTCACAGTACATTTTCCTTTGTAAAAGTGCATTTGCTTCAGTATCAAGTAAGTTCAAACAAACTGCTCACTAGACGTCAGGGTTGCTTTATTTTTCAACAACATGATATGCGGGCAGGAAAAGAACCCAATTTCCTCTCTCTTGCAGTTCGTGCATGACCAGACACATACACGCACACACACAGACTAATCAACTTACCAACAACAACTAGCAGAGTCCATATTAAGTATATTCCACTGTTGAAGCAGGTTGCATATTGACGAAATAAGCACATACATATGGGTGGTAAAACAAAAAACAAGATGTTGCTTATCTAGAAAAGAAAATATAAAATAAAATGTATCAAATAAAGGGGGAAAATGAAACAAACCTTTAAAGTTTGTAAGCTGTTTAAAGCCATCTAGAAAAGCACATTTGTTGCTTGATCTGATGACAACCCCAGCTTACCAAAACTCATATGTCCTATTTTTTTCAAAGCTGACCCCAGGTTCTGCAGTGGAGGCCTTTACTTTGAGAAATGTTAAGTATAAATCCATCAGGACTGGGAACAATGTATAATGTAGATGAGCCCTTCCTTAAAATACCTTGTAAATCTATCCCAGGAGCAACACTTTTGTGATTACACAAATACAGTATCAAATATTCATGTCATTGCAATTCAAAACGTATATAATGACAACAACAAGAGGTGAATAACAAGGATCTTAGCTGGTGGCACTCTCTTCTTAATGACTATGGGAGCCTTGCATGAAAACTTGTGGAACTGCCACAGATCATGTGGTCCTCCCTTAGAGGAAGGCAGAGACACTTGGGCTGGGGAACCCTGCTGCAACTCTTAGGCTGTAACAGGCAGCTGTGGGGCATCTACCCTACAGCTTCATCCCTGGGGTGAGGGATCGGGGAGGGAGAATTCCTCATCATTGCCTCTATGACATTCTCAGTGTCCGGCCCAATTACTCAGGCAGGAGAGAGAGTTTGGTCATAAGAGTCCACCTGAAAAAAAAGGGGAATTGCAGCTGCCTTTGAAACCCATAACTTATACTGGCCAGTTTGGCCTTTTAGGGCCTGATCATATATTCCCAGTGCCCCTCAACCTTCCACTGAAGTTAATGAGAGTTTGGGATGGACAAGGCATGTAGGATTGGACCATTAATGGGTGTGTTTGCTCCTTCAACTATATTTTTCCCTACTCACTTCCTCAAATACACCTCTACCTCGATATAACGCAACCCGATATAACACGAATTCGGATATAACACAGTAAAACAGTGCTCCAGGGGAGGGAGGAGGCTGTGCACTCCGGCGGATCAAAGCAAGTTCGATATAACACGGTTTCACCTATAACAAGGTAAGATTTTTTGGCTCCCGAGGACAGCGTTATATTGGGATAGAGGTGTATAGTCTTCACTCTACACAAGAATTCAGAGAGATTAAAATTCAATCACCTCACTTACATTCCCAGGAAGGGTCAAAATATGTTCATAAAACCAGCATTCAAAATGACAGGAACTAAAGGAGGGGCTCCCTAGGCATATTCATTTGTAAGCACTGTATGCGAGAAGCATTAAATCAAACTAAAGATGCCCCCTCAGAGGGTCACATTTTCTTCAGAAGCCTTGTCCTTTGGGTTTAGTTAAAGTAAAATATTTAGAAAAAGCAATCTCCTGCTCAGTTTAAAATAGCACACTCTTTACTAGAGACCCAGTGAATCTGTGCCAGCAGAACCCTTGGAAACAGCATTCAGCCTGAGACTCAGAAGATAAATGTGATAGAGACGAGCTCACTGGTACTTTTAAAATCATTTTTTTATTTAAGAAAAGATTACAATGAAAATGTTGAAAAGGCTGAAATGCAACAAAAACCAATTAAAAAAAAAAGTGACCAACCCACCTCCCCTGTCACCTAAAAATAAAATAAGCTAGATCATCAGGCTATTGAGAAGAGGGAGGAAGGAAGGATTCTGCGGTTTTTTAGGACTGGCCTCTAGGATTGTTACAGAACAAAATATGGTTGGCAAGAAGAGGTCTAAAATACATCATTAGAAGCCACTGTATTGCACTTCCAGTTTTATAAAAATAAACTATATAGAAAAGAGGGGATCCTGATATACTGTATTAAAAGGCCTAATGTAACCGTTCTTTGCTTTGAGCTGCATCACAAACTAGACCAAATTCCATCACTGCAAACATTTGGTTCCCTAATTTTGGTCAACAAAAGACCTGAGTGTGGAAACAAAGGCACAATGAAGAAAGATTGACCAGTTCTTGTTACCCAGGACTTCCACATAGGTCTGCAATGCCGCAGATAGAGCATAGCTTTACAAAAGTCAATTAAAAACAAAGGTTTCAGAGTAGCAGCCGTGTTAGTCTGTATCCGCAAAAAGAACAGGAGTACTTGTGGCAAGCTTAGAGACTAACACATTTATTAGAGCATAAGCTTTCGTGGGCAGTAGCCCCCCCCCTACTGCCCCCCAAAAAATCCCCACTGATTTACATTCAATTTAGGAGTGTCTACACAGTTTGCACCAGTCTAACTAAACAAAATTAAAATATCTTCAGGTAACTGTTGCAAAATTTGTGTTTAGATAAAGCCTTCGTCCTGTGACTACAGGACTGTGCTGTTAAAACTTTGTTGAGAAGTGAATAATATCTGGCATTTTTGGATGTGTATTAGCAAGGTTCTGCTATAGTACTTTAAGGGCCTGATCCAAAGCCCATTCAAGACAAGGGCAGTCTTTCCAGTGACTTCAATGGGCTTTGGGTCAGGCCCATAGCCATGTTATCCCAAGCCATTTTAGAGGTATGGAGTGAAATCTTGGCTCCAATGAGGTCAGTGGCAAAACTCCCATTGACTTGAGTTGGGCCAGGATTTCCACCATAAATCTGTAAACAGCTGTCTTTTCTTGACCTAATCTGATCATTCATCCTGCACTTTCCAGGACTACATTCTATAGTATTACCATTCATGTTTTAGCTCATCTGCTCAGCATATCACCATCCTCTCCCATCTCATTTCCAGCCTGCTTCAAGGCACAGTTGCTTTCATAAAAACTTCGTCCCTGTTTTTTATGTTCTTTTACAGTGACAACATGGGCAAATACAGCAGACTACTTACACCAAAGTGCTCAGATATCATAGGGCACCCATAAACCAGATCACCTTTGATAGTGGTTCTAGGGAAACCATAGCATCAGCAATGCTGGGCTCAAATGTGGGATTTGTTTTATTTAAATGTGTGGAGCCAGTAAGAAAAAAAGACACGGACTGAGATGATGTAGTCCTCACTGATTCGCTCAGCAGAGGGTTCAGTTTGTAAATGTACTTCTGTAACATTGTGCAGCGCTACAATCAGTTGCTAACCTGGAAAGGAAAAAAAAGCCAGAAAGAACAGGAGACAAAGAGGAAGGAGCTAGGCAAGTTTTTAGGAAGATGGGTTTGAGAAACCCCAAAAGACAGTGAAGTGGGAAGAAAAGAGTCAGAGAAACTTTGGTTACCATCCTGCCAGCCCTCCATGCATGACTGCCCATTAAAATTGAAGGAAGCCCTGAACAGAATTTGCAGGACCCAGTGTACACCACACTTTCCCTACAAATCTGTGAAGCTATACAATGCCACCTCCTTTCCCCCCAATGTGGATGCAGTTATACTGGTATAAAGCTATTCCCATACAGGAAGGGGATAGGAGAATAAACTATACTAGTGGATAGCACCTTTATACTGGTTTAACTGCATTCAGATTTGGGATTGTAACAGTATAATTATTTCAGTTAAAAAAAATGACACCCCTAACTGAAATAGTTGAATCAATCCAAAAGTCTGGGTGCAGAGAAGCCCAACAGAGATGCGCTTGAACTGGTCAGAATAAATCTAGCAATTTACCATATTAAAATGTTCTAATACAGATAAACCTATAGACCAGCCCTAAATTTGATACACAAGAAGCTGCAATTGCAGACCTGTGAAAGGAATTTACTCAGCTCAATGGGAAAAAAACAAAAAACAAAACTTTCAACAGCAGCAATTTTTAGTTCTTCCATGTACAGCATTCTGTGATCACCACTACTCCAGTGCAAAGGCTACTAGCCAAAACCCCAAGCATACTGCTCCCAAAAGAAAGAAAAGAGTGTCACACAAGTTAGATGGTCCCAGAAAATTAAAATATGGGAAGATGAGGGCAGCAGTGTTCCATCTATAATAACTGATGGCTCTTCATTGGGAGTGGGTGGAGATAAAAATCTGTTTTGTATTTTGTTTAGTCTTTGGGCCTGATTCTGATCTCAGTTATGCTGGTAGAAATCTGGAGTAGCTCCAATTAAGTCAAAGTTATACTGGTAAATCCAACATAAATGAGACTGATACATGGCCCTTTCTACATATTGTTGATTTAAGAGAGATATATACACAGAATTAGGATCAGAAAATTTTCCAATCAATATAGTAGATGGTATTTTGTGATCAACCTTAACATTTCCCATTTCATTTTAAAACAAAAATGTTTTAAAGTTCCCCTAAAAACATTAGCCTAATACGGTGGTGAAACAAAAATCAACAGTAAACAGGCATGTGAAACCAGATCACAAAAGATGCTTCCCACCACACATCCCCAAATAAAGCTACAGGAAAACTGATAACTTGTCATGCAATTGGATAGCAAGACCACAGCCCTAATGCAATACAATATCAACACAGTCCCATGCAAGAAGACCTTATTCGAGCCCTGTGTGCAAAAAGGCAAGGGAAAGCTGAGGAACTGTTGCTATTTCACTCAAGCTAGAAAAACAAGAGATCTCATTTCCTTTTAACTCCCCATGGAAGTGCTTTGAAATCAAGGCTAAAAAACTATGAAATACAAAAGAAGGTGATGGTATTTTTGCTATATTTGGATATTGCTCCTATTAAAGTTAGCAAACAAAAAGTAACAAATGTAAATGTTATTTGCATCTCATTTTTTTTAATTTAAAAGCCACTGAAAGTGACAAGATGTACCAACAATATTTAAATAATATCTTAGTCACACACTCTCTCTCTCTATGTATTAAACATAAGAAATAAAAATGAATACCGAATGTACTGCAGGCACTGTAGGACACAGGGACATGCACACAGATGTAAACACACACAAAATAAATATGTGCTCGATACACACCGTGTTGTAGAACTCGGCTATCGTGGGCACGATAGTGTAGTTATCTTCACACCAGTCTACCTCGGAGCTGCCGGCTCGCAGCTGATCCCACAAGTAGAGGGTGCTCATGACTGGGGTGGATCTGCCTTGTGTCAGCTTCTGCTTTTTCAGCTGCCGCTGTGTCGGGGCTCTCTCCGTGCTGTTGCTCCCCTGGACTAATCAGCAAGGCGCAGACAACATTGAGGTAGCACCCACAGCAGCTTCATCCTGTTTTTCTTTGCTCCAGCCGGATATGGAGCGCCACAAGCAGCAGCTTTGCAGTTCTCAGCCTGTTGGACTCATCCTCCCTCCTCCCAGTGGGTTGTTTAGCTTCATGCACGCTTCCCAGCTGATCAGCCTGCCTGCCCGCGGCCCCAGAGCGCCTGCGCCTTATGCCTCCCCCAGCTGGCTGAGGCTCGCTACAAGAATCACTGCTGCTGCCCTGTATTTACCACACACGACACAGAGAGCCGGCTCCTGCTCCAACTGAAGTCGGTGCAAGCTCCTGTTGATTGACTTCTATAGTGCAGGACCGGACTGCAGGAGCACAGGCGAGACGAGGCTGTATGGAATAATCCTGCACTAGTCCCCAGCGGAGGCACTAGGTAGGATTTAGTAAATCTTAATTTCTATCTCTGGGATTCCAGGCTGTCACTTGACGGCCAATCCTCACTCCGAAACCCACACAAATGTGGGCAGAAACATTCAAGACTCAAAGTGAACAAACAGGGAAATAAAGGATAACGCAGACATTTTTTCAATGCAACATGCTCTGCATCTGGGCACCAGCACAAGTAAAACAGACTGTATTAGAAACATTTAAATTAATGAACTGCAGTAATCTTTCCTAGAACAGCTTCTGGATTCAGTTCTTTTTTTTTTTTCTTGTTCTGGTGAAAATCCATAGTCTGGCAGCTTTACAGACTAAAGCCATCTGTTTACACACAGAAAAAGAGACAAGAGCTTCCCCACACCGCCCCACCAATGTCACCAATGTGCCTTGGGCCTGGTCTACACTGGGGAGGGGAGGGAAATCGATCTAAGATATGCAACTTCAGCTTCGAGAATAGCATAGCTGAAGTCGACGTATCTTAGATCAAATTAAAATTACTTACTTTGCGTCCTTGCAGCGCGCCGCGGCTCCCCCGCCAACTTTGCTTCTGCCTCTTGCCGAGCTGGAGTTCAGCAGTCGACAGGAGAGTGATTGGGGATACACGCGATAAATTGATCCCCGATGGATCGATTGCTACCTGCCGATCCAGCCTGTCTCAGAGGGATAACCTCTAAGGGTATGTCTACATTCCAATGTAAACCTGGGCTCAGATTCAGGCTCAAGCCCAACCCCCCCTTCAATCTACCCACAAATCTATCTGATTCAGACCAGTAAGCCTTCTGAACCCAGACCCTAGGACCCTGCAAGATGGGTGTGTCTGAGCCTGAGTCACACTGGGACTTGGGTCCACAATGCATCATTTTGCACCATGAACAGGGCTTGGGACCAGATCCCCCCGTCTCACATCCTGAGAGTCTGCAAACACTATCCCACAATGCTATGGGCCAGCCTTCTTATCCTTTCTATCCCAAGATTAGCCAATTGACTCCCAGGAAACAGAAGCAGCTCCCTGGTGCATGTACAGCTGCTTGGCATTTAATGTTTCCATTTTATTCTGCCTGCTGAGCTGCAAACAGAGGTAACTGTCTCCTGAGTTAGCTATGGCCACCGACAAGAAGTCTGTTGCCAAACACACTGCTACCTGGTCACAGGACCATGGTCAGATTCTGGTATATCTGTGGTGTGAGGAGAAAAAGACATTCAATTTCAATAAGTGTACCAGAAATGACCATCTGTAGTAAGAAATAGCAGACAAGCTGGCAGCATTGGGGATACAACAGAGCAGTGCAGGGAGTGGATTAAGTGGTTCAAGAGCAACTACCAAGAAAGCCAGGGATGAGAACTGCACCTCTGGGAACCCCCTATCATCCTGCCTCTTTTATGAGGCGTTTGATCAGATGCATTGAGCACTGAGCCCCCAGCAGTTCACAATAGCCTGGTCAGCCATGGCAACCTTCTGACCTCTGAATCTTGTACACCATCAGAAAGAAGCCAGCAGCTGCTGGATCAGGCTAGCGAAGTGACTCTGGTGCTCATACCAGTCCCCAAGGAGACTTTGCTGCCAAAGCAGCTGCAGCATGTCTACACTCAGAGGAGCTGTTTGATGACCCCCTGGAGGAGCAGCCCGCTGTAGAAGCAGAAGCAGAAGAGGCAAAAATAACCTCAGTGCCTGGTAAATATTTTGGCTCCATGTTTGTTGTTATTAATACAGAAATGGGAGGGATTTGTGATTTATGAGTCAACACAATTTTTATTACAAGCCATGGGTAGGAGTGTGTATCTACTAATGGTGAAATGCACGCCTCAGTATTTTGGCATCAGCCCCCTCGATTCACATGGCATTAAAATGGAGACTGAGAAGTGCAAACAACAATTAATCAGTTAACATTACATTTTTACTAGATACTTGTATGTTCTTACAAAGATATGCTGGGGTGTTAAAAGTAAAAACCTTATATTGCCTTTCCTTTTTGTACACTGTGCAGTACAAATTGGCCACGCCACAGCATAACAGGCCACCTGTAATCTGTAAACTGTACGGGGAGGAGGCAGAAATGTAGTTCATGAGTGATGAAATCCATGTCTAAAAGGGCTGGGGGGGGGGTTGTATGTAGTCCAGAGAAGTTTAAAGGGAGAGGAGTTGGCTGTGCAGTTCTTTGAGAGTCCATATTATCATGTGTGTGGGCATGTGTAGTCACAGTAGACTGTATCATAAACCGTAGGGACGCAGTAATCCATGTGGATGCTAACGCAGCATCCTGTTCATTTCCCCCATGAATCCTGGGTGCTGATAGCTGCAAACTTTTCCTGTAGTAGGAACTCCAGATAGGTAGTCACATTTTGGGGAGAGGCATATTTTCCAGACCCTCCTCCACTTGTTAACGTGTTGCTCAGTTACCATAAGCTTTAAAACCTCTGTGGAATACATGCCTAACTTGCCACTGGTAGCATGGAATAGAATGACCCTTTGCCATTCAGGGAACTCCAGGATTCTTATGTCCTTTATAACATGGAATGCCTGAAAGGACTGAGAAACCTTAGCTAGTAACCATGGTGCACACACCCCGCCCCAGGCTATAATCGTCTGCACTTTACGAATGCTATATTTTTAAAAATTTCACCTTACATTCTTTGCACTCTGCTTAACTCAGTTATGTCCATGGAGTTTCTGGGAACCAAATCATTTCTCTAAGAATATAATGAAGTTTTACAAAGTATAAATTTTTGGCCTTGAGATTCCACAGGCACTTTTCTCTGAGAATACAGTGAACCTTTTTTTAAGTACTGCTACAATAATGTGCTGTTTGATGGCTGCTTTCACTCCCTTCCACCTGTGCAGGCCCTTCCACCTGTGCAGTTTAACCACACTCCAGTAGAAGCCTAGATTTCTAACTGTCACAGAACGATCAAAGAGAAAGCATTTCTGTGATGAATTTAAGGTGGACATCCTGGACAGGGCCAACAAGCAGGTAGATTACCAAAGGGAAAAGAATTCATGGCCAGTGGAAAGGCACAGACAGGCAGTAAATTGCAAGGAGAGAATTGCAGCAGGTCGGGAGAGAGTTGCTGCGCTGTTTCAGGAGCAGGAAGATTGCTTGAGGGAGGAAGACAGAGCGCGGCAGAAAGACCTGTTTGAGAGGCTGCAAGGGCTAATGGCCACAAGAGTTCAGGCTTCTGCTCCACCTGTACCACATCCTGAGCCTGCTCCATGGTACCATGTCATGCAGACTAGGAACACATTGGACAATACAAAAGTTGGGTGGCCCATGCAACCAAGACTGAACACTAGTAGCTGGACAAGTCAAATATACCCCCAGCAGTCATCCACCCCCAGGCATCATCACCAAGTTTGCAATAAATGTGCTAGAAAGCGACGCCAAGGGACATGCAAAAGTAGGGAATTTATTTGTTTGCATTGGCTTCACAGTTCAATGTTTGTGTTATGCACTTTATTTTATTAGGGGTGTTGGTTTATTACTGGAGTTTTGGTATTCTAATGGCAGCTGGCCTGCCTGACAATGCTTTAATATTGTTTGGTTGGGTTTTTTTGTTTTTGTAATAGATGTGTTCACAAATAAAGCCTTTTATTTTATTATAAAAGTTTATTGCCATCATTCCATCACATCATATAACGTGTATTTCAAAGAATGAAGACAGGATAAGGCACAACCAGGAAGTTGTATCCCAATACAAGTTCTTAATACATCCATTCAGATCAATCAATAATGAAAATCCACAGTTCATGTCACACAAACCACTGTCCCCACCTCACTGGATAAGCAGTTATCGCATCCACAATTAACCATTTGTGACAATCACACACACTCCATTTGTAGCATACAGCGACAGTACTTCGTTTATTGTAAAATTACTGTACATATACACTCATAAACATACCATTCTCCCTCCTCTACTGGTCCAGGCAAGTCCATAAAGTATCCGGGATTTCTGTTGACCGTGTATATCCTGCTTCAGCTGTGATAAGTGCACCTTCTGGCTGAGTGTACCGATTCAGCAACCATTACTGTCATATGTCCATTCAGGGCCAACTGGCTCATCCTTTGGATTCACAAAGATTGCGAAGCACACAGCAAGTCACAATAATGCAGACTGCACTGATTACACTGGTGTACAAACAGTTCTGTAAACAGCACCAGTGGGATTTCAATCCACCAAATGCTCACTCATTCTACCTACTGAGGGTGTAATTAAACCTTCTTTTGCCAGGGCCTCTGAAAGGAGGATAGTTTCATAAGCCAAAGCAAGGTGGTTTCCCCTAGAATAACAATGGGGACCGTTACTCCATTTGACAATATCATTTGGTCAGAACAGTGTCCGAACCTGTCCATGAAGTTAGACTCCCAATCAGAGGAAAACCCTGGGCATCATGAACTTTTCCAGCGCAGGCCATGTTGGCATCCATATATCAGCCTCTGTAGTCCACAAGGGCCTGCATTACGATGTAGTAGCCTCTGCAGTTTATGTGCTCCTTGAGGAGGGCAAACTATGGGCATGAGTCCCATTGATGGCCCCGGCACAGTCTGGATACCCCATTCTCTCAAAACCAGCATTTACTTCAGGGATATTATTTATATCCACCAACTTGGGGAAAATCGCACGCCTGACTGCCTCAGAAACTTCCGCCACCACTTTACCCACGGTTGACTTTTCAACACCAAACTAGTTAGCAACAGACATGTAGCAGTTTGGGGGTAGCCAGCTTCCAGATGGTTATGGCAATCCACTTCTAGACTGGCATGGCTGCCCTCCGTCTGTATTGTGAAGCTGGAGGTTGGGGCAGGCTGCTCACAAAGCTCCAGAAATGTAGCTTTCTTTGTGTGAAAATTTTG